TCGCGTGGTTCAAAAGTAGCTGAGTGTCCTAAGCAAGATGGCCTCTCTTTAGGAGCAAAAGATCTCCTTCATTTCTAACAAAATTAAGCAGGATCATGAAAAAGTTACAAACATGAGCAAACATTTTACTATAAAAAGCACATACTATTGAAAACATGGCACATAGCATGAGAAATTCAGACATCTTCACACTCAGTGAAGAGAAACACTCAATGGTAATTAACCATATGAACAAGAATAACAGAGGATCAGCTGGAGAGGTCCTGAAAGAAATCTTAAACCAAGAAACTAAAAAATCAGTTACTACATAGAAGCATTTTTCAAAATGGTCCTTGTCACGTACACTGTGACAGACAGCAGAGGCTCAGTGCATGATTGATTAAACTTGTACAGAAAAGGAGATTATATTTACTAGTATCTGGTAAATTTTTGAGGTAGACAGAGTTTATATAAGATGGTTCTACCTAATCAAAATAGAATCGGTGCAGGTGACATTTAAGATTAAAAGTGCTGCGAGATAATTTTAAACTGAAAACCGAGGAAAACATGCCAAGTGTGGAAAGTAAATTGTTCAGAGTGATATATCTGTGTGGTCTGAAATCACAGAAAACCTATGACTTAAAAAAAAATAAAAATAAAATAAAATAAAATGGAATGAAAAACAAGCAAAACAAAACAAAGAAAAGCAACTAATACTCCAAGTAATTAGCTCACATCAAGATAGGCAACCAGATCAAGTCAAATGTCTAAATATCTCCATTCAAATACCTCAGTTTTAAAGTAGATTAAATGGCAGAAGCACTGGGGAATGCCCATATTTGTTTTAAAATGAAACTTTGATTATGAAAGTTTAATGACAGGAAGGTGTGCATTGGAACATTAATAAAGGAAAACAGATTTCATACAAGACAAGTTGTTTCTTTTTACACATTAATGCTAAAGAACATATGGTGACAAACAACAGTATGTGTTGTAATACAGAATTTCAATGGCTGTGCAATTTCATTCCATGATAAAAAGAGCCGTATGTTGTTGGCGCTGTGCTATCAATCATCTGACCAAACTGAGGTGAGTGAAGTGCTAGAGACAATCAGAGAGCTTGAAGGGCAGACAATCAATAACAATGGAACAGTCCAATCATACTAGACAAGGTAAATGTAATAGTGCACCGTGACACAGACTTCGTCTGCAGTGGAGGACTACACCAGGATAAGACAAAGGCTTGAGCTCTGGACTGTGATCACAAGCTTCTCTCAATTGTTAGCAAACAGTTTAATATGTCTGCTATCCATCTCAATGAGCAAGTCAAGGACAATTTCCAATGCACAGTGTGGAAAAGGTCCCCCTCCTACTACTGGGGAAAAGAGTTTGGGTATGTGGAGGTTCCATGATTGCTCCATGTCTTCTAACCTTATGACATCTATTTCCCAGAATTGATGTAGGTACAAATTAGGCTATGTAAATAGTTGCTTCTTGGAGTCGTTTTATGAAAGTACATGCAAGAAAAAAAATGATTAACTATTATTTAATCCTAAATAATAAACAAGACCCAGTACAGTTTGAAACAGCAACAACAAAATAAAGAGACAACAATAAGCCCAAAAAGCTATTTAAAGTGCCAAATGTCTGCAGAAACAAAAGAGCTGTTTAAAAGAATCATTTAAAAACTCAGAAGAGATCTTAAGCCTTCTGCAAACCCACCCATGCTATAAAGGTAGGATTTCTGTAGCCTCAATTTTCTGAAAGGGTAAACGAGGCAAGACAGGTAAAGAAAAATGATAACTTATGATTTGTTTTCCAAATAAATCCTTTGGTTTAATAAAATACAAGTATCTTTCCTACAAGCCTTGCATAACCTATACTTGTACTCACTTGCTTTCTTATAATAAATCTATAAAAGAACTCAAAATGCAATTGCTGACCAAGTAATTACAGCAAATAAATCAAAGGCTTTGGCTAGTTTCAGTACCAGAGAAAAAGAAGTACCAAATGAGATTTTTTTGAGAAGGACTCAAAGAATAATCCAGGGAAATACTGGCTTTTGAGTAACTGACATAGACCGTAATGAAAAACAGAAGTAGAAGATAGAGAGTTTTGCTTCACAAAACTACTAGAGCTCTTGAAAGAACTCCAGGAGCTAACAGAGACTGGGTCATCTTGATGCTGTATTCTATTCAGATTTCTGAAAAGCTTCATGAATTCCCTCAAAAAATAAAAAATAAAAATGGAATATTCCTTTATGTAGATTAAAGGCAGCAAAAGACAGAAAACAGGTGGTTATTTTTCATATTGGAAAAAGCTTTAAGTGAATTCCCCCATGAATTTATGTTATTCAACATAATAAGTGATCTGGAAAAGAGGGTAACTGAGAGGTCCAAAGTTTTAACTGGAGTACTCAAATCTAATATTGATGGAAAACATTGAGTTACTAGGTATGAAAGGGATATTAAATTCAATGTTAGTAAGTGCAGTGTAATTCACTTTGCAGAAAAATAATTCTAACTACAGAACAATATCAAAGAAGGTGTAAGAGTAGACAAACAATAATGGCAGTGAGAGAGTCCTGTCATCACTGACTGGATCAATAACTTATTTCTTTAATCCTGTATTCAGTTCTTGTCCTCTCATGCCTAAATTAATACTGTAGAATACATTGAAGAAATAGAAAGGGTGCACAAGCCCAACTAATAATATCAGAAATATTGAATTAATATGAAGAGAGGGTAATCCCACCAGAATTCCTCATCTTGGGAAAAAAAAACAAAACAAAACAAAACCCGGAGGTGGTATGACAGAGGATTAAAGTAGCACAAACAGGAGTGAAATTGTAAATAAGGAATGATTATTCGTTATTTCTTATAAAGGAAGAAGTCTTCTCTGAAGGATTCTGGGCTGGATAAAAATATCAGGTAAGGATTTAATCATTTACTGTGCACTTTTCTGTGCGTACTACACTCTCGCTTTAAGCATCCACTGTAAGCTATGAGCAGAGCTCTTCTCCATTTACGTAAGATGATTCTGTGGGTTTCTTTTCATGGAACTTTCAGCTCTGCAGTAAGAACAGAGGGAGTGCATAGGGAGTGAGAGGAATCAGAGATTAATCATTGGAGATGTATAGGAATAAGACTGTGTGCAGATGTGTTTGACAGTGTATAAACAAACGTATAGCAGTTGGCAGGATAGGTTGGGCTTGTTTTGCATTACGCTGTAGAGATACAATTTTCTCAGAAATTATCCAGCTGCTGTTCTTCGCAGGCTTTCCATTCCTGTTTCCTTTTCTATTAAACCATTCACCCTCAATTTCCTCCTTCATGTAAAAGAAAACCCCCAGACTTGCAGAAACACAACGACTGACTCATTCCACATGGATCATATTTGCAACTATTGAGGTCACAATATACTTAGCAGCTTAATCTCATGCAAAGTCGGGTAATACATTTCTGGTTGAGGTTTATTCCTATAAAGAAATAATAAAGTTATTATCTGAGAATAAGAAAATTTCTTACTGTCAAAACACAGGCAGAATCTTTGAAGTTTAAGTCAGAGAGTTGCAAAAGGTGATCTACACTATTAATTGAGATGTCCACTTCTCCTTTTTTGGCTACCTGGGAAATACAGGAGAATCACCTCTCAGATATAAAGGGTGAGGGACTTAAACTGCTTTGTGGCAAATCTAATCACTAGAGCCTATTACAAGTGCATCCTGTGTCATCAGAATCACAGAATCATTAAGGTTGGAAAGACCAGTAAGATCATATAGCCCAACCATCATAATGCTTCCTTTCCTGAACATGAGTACTAGCATAAGGGAAGGTAGCCAAAACCTCCTTTTGCACAGTAACTCTGGGGCTTGAGCTCCTGGTCAGGAAAGCGAAGACCTAGGACATGCAACAGTCCCAAAGCCAACAAGACACAGAACTGCATGATTTTAGCATTCCAACTGCAGCTAGGCTTCATGCAGAAAGGAATGTAAGACAAAGACAAAATTTATGGAAGCTTTGATTCTGTAACTCTGTAATAAGGGACTTCCCTAGCACAGAGAAGCCATAAGTTCTTCTCCTGCTTCCACTGTCCGTTGCATATTTTCTTTAATGATGCTTAGCTGGATATTGTACAGCTAATACTTTTAGCAGAAATTCTTTCTGTTCCAATATGATTGCTACAGTTGTGATGAAAACCACCATTCAGCTCCCCTACCTGGACAATGGCATGTTACTCTTCAATTTCCATGCTCCTCAAGTAATTTTCACATTATTCATGCTGCTCTGTGAGATCATGTTCTTGTCCCTATAAACGTCTTTGTATCCATAAATCCTGTCTCCAAGAGCTGTCTCTTCAAATGCCCAGTGAAGTGCAGGAGGAAAAGGCAGCGCTCAGAGTTCTGATCACAACATAAATGAACTTCGAGCAGAACAGAAATTCTTCCACTGCCTATTCTTCTTGGTTATTAAAACTGTAGCAATTCAAGGCCCATCAAGGTGATGTATACCGGAAATCTGAATCCAGATACCTGATTTGCATATGAATTTGAACATCTCCTTTTTGTACCGGCCTAGATAGAGCACAACCACACAGCCTGGAAGAAGCTGGCTTGCTTACGCACAAAAAGCCAAAGAGACTTTAACAACTGAGAATCATTTAAGGTGTTCCTCAGTGTTCTCTATTAGAGGCTGCAACTGTATGCCATTTGCCTTCAGGAATATCAGATTGAATTTTCACTCCTTTCAGATTTAAAATAGTATTTGTAAGGAATTAAATTGCGGAAAAATAATGCATTTCTCTGCAATTTCTGAATCAGCATTGTCCTATTAAACCAGCAGGAGGAATCAGCAGGCACAAACACAGAATTCCTTCTCATTAGGTCTGTCAGATAATACAGCAAGCTCAGGAGAAAACATCCTACTTCATAAGCGGCAGCTCTGAACCCAGAGAATCTTTTAAGGCCTGTTCAAATGACTGATGTTTTTGTAAGTACAACATTCTTCACATATGCAACAAGATTTGTAAGAAGAAATAATATATTTTATTAGATTAAATTATATATGTATTTGGAATTGCAAGTCTATCTTCAGATCTAAAACCAAAGCCTTTTACTAATCACAGAGTGGCAGTTCTGTGCTCCTATCTTGCAACACTTTCTTTACAGAAACAGAATAAGTAAAAAAGTGGTTCCTCTTTTCCAATACAGCTTAGAAAGAACGAAGACAAAAAGAAAAGAACACGTCACATAGTTAAGATGAATTATATCATGCATAAACATCCAATGAACTTAAAAGAAAATCATTTTATATTTTAACATACAGAAATGGAAAAACCCCAACAGACACAGGCTTCTGCACCTCCATATCTTTTCTCTTGTCTTGTTCTCTTTTACTGGCCCATTCCACTCCTTTTATTGTACTGAGTGAGTCCTTGGGAATTCCTCCAACAATATATATATTTAGTAATGTCTCCATGTTAAGCTAGAAAGTTCAAAAAACACCATGTCTCTCAACATGGCAATATTTAGATTGCCTTTCATGACAAAATTGCAAAGGTTAATGAGGATGAGATCAAGCCATGCCTTTCAACACACAGCACTGGAAAATAGAAAAAAGGAATGGTTTATTTGCTCCTAGCTTGCAGAGATCGTTTTTAACAGATAGCTGCCATCTCTTTCAACTACTCTTAGCCTTGCTATTCATTGATATTTACTCCTTTAACAGATCTTCTGTGATCCTCAAAGATTGCTGCCAGGAGAAATAATCAGCTGATTAAATGCTTTTGAACAGCTCAATGGCCTGCTGGGGCTCCTGTGTATCACAGGGCTTCCCCCCAGCAGTGGCGAGTGGCAGGTGTGTGGTGCCGCTGGCTGATGGCAGTGACAGGCTGTCTGTGGTGATGTACTCCAAGGGACACTGCTGAAGGAATGCCGGACAGCCAGGAGCCTCTGGACATTTCTGTTCTTCTGTTCTCATGTCTGTGCTTTTCCCACAGCTGGAGGGAAGTGGTGAAACTTCCTTCTTGTTGAGGTACTGCGTTGCTTCCTTCTGCTCTGGGAGCAGGAAGGGCTGCAGAGGACCTGCTCCTGGCTGCTCCTGCCTCTGTGCAGCCTGGGGGCTGGCTTTGTCTGGAAGGGTCACGTACTGCAGGGACACTGCTTTCTCCTGTTTTCCCATTGGATTCAAGCTCACCTCCAGGGTCTGATGCATCTCAGGCTGAGAAGACCTCACTGGGCTGTACAAGTATGGGCCATTGTAAGCAAAGCAAGTGATTGCTGTCTGGGAAGTTATACTTGTGTCAGCACAGTTTGTCCTTGGGCAGACAACCGGGGCATTTAAAGCATGGTATGGGTTCTGTAGGTCCAATGCAGGAGAAGAAACCTCTGTCCTTTCAATCTGCACTTCAGGGGACTCTGCCAAAATCTTCTTCTGCCTGAAGGAGGGACAGTTAAAATTGCTCATGAGATATGTATTTGTGGTAAACACAAAGCAGAAACACAAGCTTAGTAGAACACTGAGGTAGCTATGCATATGGTCAGAATGATCTGTGCAGGTGAGCAAGTTACACCAGAGCGCACAGAATTGTATCCGAAGCTCAAAAGTTACTGCCATGGGCTTTTTGGTGACAGAACATTTGGCTATGGCTTCCCACGAGTTAGGGAGCTCTATGAGCATGTCATTCACAGTGTGACTACAATGTTCTCTTCATTTACCTGTCCACAACTTGAAGGAAGCTAGGCTGATCCATATTCTCCATAAGGCTGCATTTGTTGAAATCCAGCTGGCTGCTTGCATGCCTGTTTCCTAGAGGAACTTTCTGGAAAAATAATAGAAAGCAGACATGGGGAAAGATAAGTGTCTTATCAGCAGCAGAATCATGGAGAAGGAAAATAGCTAGCAGAGGTGAAAGCATCTGGCAATGCACTCTAGTAAAGTTGGATAGAACTTCAATAAGATGACTGGTAGATGCTTTCATTTCTCCAGAAGAATCTTGATTCAAAGCCAAATTGCCTTTCTACTGACCTTACATAACACTATATAGCTCGGGTGGTTGGAGCTGTTCTCTGAAAGATCGTACAAACGCTGCAGGATCTCACTACAATAAACAGAGCTATGGCTTCATGCAAATTCAAACCCATGAAATGACAGCACTTACAAATAGAGAAACATATAAAGGATTAAAAACAAGTCTGCTAAGCTGTTTCTTTGAATGTGGAGGGAAGGAAAAATCAGATTTTACTGAAAGATCATGTAAAAAACAACATAAGTCTTTAGTAGAAACAGAAACAGTTTATCTTCAGACACAGGAGATATAATACTGAAATTTTCCTAGTTTAATTTTCCATCACTGTCATGCTGACAAGCACAACACTAATCAGTCTGCAGGTATAAATGCACAATCTGGCTTCTGTTACATACGGACTGAGCAAGAAGGAACAGACTAACTGAAGCGTACGTTCCTCGCAGATTAGGTGACAAAGAGGAGCTCTTGGAATTATTGGGATTCATGAAGAAGAAAAAAATAATGAACCTTCAAAGGCACAGATGCCTCTTACCTTCAAGTAGCTCTGGATCAGCAGACTCTTGCTGGGGTTTGGAATCTTTTCCTCCCACAGCTTCTTCTGCCTGCAGCAACACAGAGTTTTCAAGGTTCGCGTCTCACTGTGGCAAGAAGAAGAGACTGCACCTCATGCACCATGCTGCTCTGCGTGGCCCCGCCGTTGCCTGGGAGGCCAGCAGCAAACTCGCACCAGTGTCCAGCCATGTACAAGGCTGACACTGCACACCAAGGCTTCTCTTTGCATAGACCACTCTCATAGCAGACAAGCAGTGCCTCACCCTTTATCCACTCCCCGTGGCCAACACACAGCTAAATTGCATTCTCAGGGCACAAACTTACCTGAGTAAGTACTTAAAGCTGCAATAAGCAACAGCGAGCAAAGTGATGATGAGAACTGGCAGCATCAATGGGAGAACCACTGGTGAAAGAACTGAAAGAGAGAAAGAAGAAATGGGGAGTCAACATCTGAGGATCCCTTCCCATAAGAAGTTTTGCATTCAGGTGATTCTTCGTGAAAGCATATCTGGGAAGTAGAAGAGAAGAAATGTGTCCTGAATACCTTATTGATGACCAAAGGAAGTCATCTTTTCCCTCACTGATTCTTTTTCTAGTCTTCACTGACTCCACAGGGAAAATAATTTATCCCAGCAAAAGCCTGGTGAGGTAGCAGAATTCACGGTGAATGTTAGAGGTCTACAGAGGTCTTAGGTTGCCTGACTTTGTACAGTCCTGGAGAGATGGGAATCTCAGAGATTCTCCTGAGCTCCTTCCGCTAATGGATGTAGATGAACATCGAGGTGAACATCTTGGTACTTCAAGCTGCCCAGGGACAAATTCTAGAATGTCACATATCTTTGGGCATGTGATCATAGTAATCATGGGCATTCTGCTTCTAACTCCAGAAACTGCAAGAACATGATATGGTGTGCATCTCCAGTACACTCCAATGTGTCTTTTATTCAACTCCACGGCCTCTCTGTAAAATGGAAAGGCTGATTTTTAGCCTGTCTTCCTGCATTCTCAAGCTTTTCAGTTCCTTAAAGCAGAATCAATTATTGGGATCAGGAAACAGCAGTGGTCTTTGGCTAGGATCTTTTCTTGATTCTCCGTGTGGAAAGCTTTACAGCTAGCTGTATTAGCCTAGGGAAGGAAAGCAGGAAAGGTGCTTACGAGCTGCATCCTGCTCACTGCCTTTGTTAGCATTCCTGCTGCACTGAAAGGGTGCAAGCAGAACAGTGACCACTTTAAGCAGCCCCACCACAGTTACATGGCTGGATCTGCCTGCAACGTTCATCACAAGAATGCAGGTGTTTCTCTACAGGAATTTCATCCACGAACCGTACAAAAACCTGACAAAATCCGCCCGGGTGAAAAGTACCATTCTCAGTTTCCCAGGTGAACTCCTCACTCCATTCACTCCAGTATCCCTGGTAATCCTGATTATTCACCATTGCACGCATTCTTCCCCTGTATTTGGTAGACGCTGACAACATCTGATCAGTGAAGATGAAGGGAGGTTCATCATTGGTAATTTTTATGGTCTTCAAGGTCTGGGGAGAGGAAAGAAGCACAAATGAAAGAGGTGAGAGGAACTGACATCCCCAGTCGCAAAGCAAAGAGAAACCCAGGACTCCTGCACTTGCTATCACTCACTTTTTCATACTGGTTGTGCTTCCAGAACTGGACTTCGTACTGCTGTTTTATGAAACCATACCGTAAAGTGTGTTTTTTCCACCTCAGTTCATACTCCTGATTTCTCATCAGTTCCACAGACACATTTGCAGGTGGCAGCACCTTAACTAGAACACAGAGAATATCCCAGAGTACATATCAACAAGCACACCCAGCTTCTACCATTGCAAAAACCTCTCCCTAGCTCCTGTCTGTGAAAACATCACCAATACTTCCAGATTCTCACATGTACAGGCGCTCCACCTGGCACACCTCACGCAGCACATCAGCCCTATCTCATGCTGAGCTCCAGGGATCACTTCACAAACCCCAGGAGCTCCTCTGGGTCTGACCCACATCATCAACCACGTGCTTCCCTTACCAAGTCACATCGCTTCTTCCTCCCAAACACCTTTCCTCACTCCCACTGCTCTCATCACGTCTTGCCCACACAGGCACTGTTCCTAAAAAAATCCCAGGAGAGGCAAGACTCTCCAAAGCAACTCACTGTTCTTGTAGGCTTCTATCAGTTTCTCCTCCATCTTGGTCCGCACAGACACTTGGTACTGGCTCTGACTGCTGATGTTGCTAACAGGGATCCCACAGCTCTGCACCACATATGGGACATGGGGCAAAGCCTTCTCATACACGGGAGAGCACTCCTCTTCCCTGAGGGGAGAAAAGAAGGTGGTGCTGAGATCAGCAGGAACGGCACAGAGCAGCAGCCCAGCAGCACGGGCAGAGGTAAGTATGCTGCCACTGGCAGATCACGTACGCTGATGCTGGAGTGGCCCTGAAGAACAAGCCAAAGATGACAGAGCTGGCAATCGCTTCCTTCACTTCCCAGCTGCACTTCAGATATGCACCATTGAAGAGGCAACGAAGGTTCCTGGGATGAATGCCACCTACAGAGAAGATCACAGCATGCTAAGAGGCAGGAAAAGTCCAGTGAAAGCCTTTGTCTTGCATGAGCAGGTACCATACAATGGGGTGGAACACAAAGCACACCGAAAGGGGCAAGATAGGCTCTTGCTCCTGCTCGCATTTCAAACTTCTCCATGCCCTTCTAGGACATAGCAATCCTTCCAAGTGAAAGCAAGACCAGCACCACAGTGGAAGACAGTAAGCAGACTTCTTCATGACCTACATCCCAAGTCACAATCCGGACCCATGGAGGGCTTCAGACCTCCTGCAGGGGGCACAGCCCCCAGCCATTTCATTATTGCTTGGAGTATCCCAGTGAAACAAGTGTTGAGGCTCCCTGAGAGAAAGCCATCATAGGTGGGGCTTCCCTTGCCACTTTTGGCTTTGGATGGGACCCACAAGGATCACTGCCTTGCCCTGGCTTCTCAGGGTGACCTCCTACCCTTGCACAGCCCTACTCCATCCCCTTTACCTTCGGGGGTCTCCCAGGACACATCTGTGCTCCACTCGCTGTATTGCCCGGAGAAACCTGTGCCCTGCTCTGGTCTGGCTCGCACATGGGCGATGTATCTGCTTCCTGGGATGAGGTGGCTGAGGTGGCAATGAGTGATGTTGGAGAGCAGGCGTGAAGCAGCCTTCTGTCAGCAGGGGAAAGGAGGGAGAACAGGAATCAGTGGTGAGGGGTGGAAGGAAGACAGAGAAGGAGCACAGATGCATCTCAAGCTGTCTTGTGCACGTGAAACACTTCCAAGGTGTTTTGCCTTTCTCCCCCATGAGCCCACAGGCTGCTCTTCAAACGTGCTTTGAATTCATGATGGAGGGATGCAGGGTTAAATAAATTCCAACTCAAAACCCAATTGCACTGCTTTTTCGCAGTGAAGAATTGATTTTTGCATTCAAGTCAGGACTAGTGGTATTTTACCAGGAAAGTCACTTGCAGACAGTAACAAAGCCTCTTCCACATGGCCTAAATCAGCATTTATTGCAACTCTTCATAGTGCCTGAGAACAGAAAGGCTGCCCATTTGCATGGCACTGACCATAAGTTCTCAACCAGCCACAAGGCTTCAGCCATGGCCTGGTGAGGCCAACTCTTCCTGCTCTTACCTCCCAGGACTCCCAGTCCCGCTTGTAAGCAACTTCATACTCCAACACATTGCTCAGCCCTTGGCTTCCATCAGGTGCTGTCCATGTCAGCAAGAAGTCCCCTGAACTTTCTCGGAGTGAGAGGTTCTGAGGGGGAAGGGGCTGAACTGGAAGATGAAGATACAACACATGAGATGTGATACGGAGGAGAGAAACATGAAGAGGGGAACAAAACATGAAGTTAAGCGCCCTCAACTTCCCCATTTTCACAATATCTTATCACTTCCTGCAGTAGGAAGCTGCTTGCTGTGTGTCCCTCCAACGTTCACCTGTTCCCACACTCGCCCTCTTCAATCTCAAGGCAGAACTGTTTGTCAGTTTTTGCAAAATCATCGCGATTCATCTCCTAACTGAACATTAAAAATGTTCTCAAAGATCCCCCAAAAGCATTTGAAAGTTTGCCTTGGAATTTATTCCTTACCATTTTGGAAAAGATGAACTTGTAGTTGTGCTTCAAGATTCTGCTTGGGTTTGAAGCTGTAATAGTCATCCACTCCAATTCCAAAATGTTCTACTGGTTTCCAACAAATCCAATGGCTGTATGGGTCTGAAGCCTCAGGTAAGTCTTCTTCCAGCTCCTTTTGACAATGCATTTCCTCACTGTCACTGTGTGAATAGAAAAAGTATCTATAACGGTCTGATCTGGTCCTATTTAGTTCAGGCAAAACTAAATGTCAGCAGATAATTCCAATCCCTAATGATTATCTAATTTATGTGGGAAGTTATATCCTCATTACCACTGATAGCCCCATTTTGCACCTATTACCATTACTAACATTTTTATCACCATTAATCTTTTATCAAATGTGTTTTCATTTCAAAGTACGCAACATAATATTCTGTTCTCAAGTCAGGCTAGTTTTGTTAGTTTCCAGTCTAAGCCTTGATAATCTCACAATTCTATGTGAGAAGTCGTTTGATGGAAAAGAACATCAGAGAAATGCATTGTTTACTTTGAGTGAAAGGCAAGGAAGTTTCTGACGCTCCTGAGCTTCTTGAAGGAATTCCCTTGGCAGTCCCAGGAAGACACTTAAGCGTTTTTTTAATTCAGCCAAAATGTACTTCTCAAGCCTTACCAGTTCTGTTCTGTCAAGAGACCTGATGTATTCATTAACTTCCCCCAGAATGCTAGGCATCACTTTAGATGGCCTTCCTCCAGGCCAAAAAGCATCATCAAGATTAAAAACAATATATTATGGTAGTCAGAAGTAGGCAAGCTTTGTGTGCTTGCACAGGTCTGAGTTGCTGAAGAGATGCAGTTCTCCTTTTTGTACCCTCTGAACTTCTGCATGAGCCTATGAATCCATGCCCGTTGCTCCCGTACAGATAAAGCCGTGGCGATCGGAGCTCAGCTACTGTCCTTCAGGACAGCATGAGGTCTCCAAGCCAACCATACGTCAGCAGGCATTGTTCAGCAGTACTGATAGCTGTCAAAGTTGGGTACTAGTGAGGAAGCCAGGCATATTTCTGAAGAAAGGGAGGGACTGATTGGTCATGATTCCTGTATCAGCCACTGAAAACCCTCCATCATAAAACAATGTTCCAGAGCAGACTCCCAACAGCAGAGCAATTTTCTTTCATCTTTTCTTTCCTTCTCTTTTTTTTTTTTTTTTCCAGAATAATTGCCCTCAAGGTCCTTTTCCAAAGACCTTCAGCTCATTTCACCTGCTTTTAGGTGTACCAGTACTCTCTTACCTACAATAAAATCAAGTGTTCCCTCTTCTCCCTTTCCTTTCTGTATCCCAAGATGCTAATACATTTTCTTCTCAGCTTTCCATCTTTAACTTCCTCTCTATTCGGCCTTTCTTATCCTCACAGCTGATCAAGTCTGCTGATGCTGTTCCCTTTTCATAAGGAAACAGATGCAGCATAGAGATACTCTCATAAACAACCGGTATCTCTGGGAGGAAGATTGATAGCACAGATGAACTTACCCATACCCACACTTTCACAAGCATAGCCTATTCAGGGTCTTCAGAAGTGATCAACACCATACTCTCAGTGATGACCCTAAACAGGCAAAATAACTGGGGAAATGTCTCTGCCTGGTAGGTTTATGAATCGCTCCTGAGCCCGCTCTTCTTCTCAATCTATCTTCTCTACCTCGTTGGACGGCCATCCGCGTGCCCCTTCTTATATCCTATCCAGGATTCTGCTACAAACTTATGGGAAAATTATTGAAACTAGGATCAAATTAACTCCACTGGCACATGATTAGAAGTCCTCCCTCTCCCTTTTTAGGACAGGCATCAGAAGCAAGCGCGACTTTGACTGTAACCCAAGAACAGCTGTCACTTTCTAAAAACCCGACTGCCGGCCCAGAGATTCCAAAAGAGTGTTGTGGCCAAACACTCTTCGGATGTTTTTCCTTCACAGTTCATTTCAGGTACTTACTTTTTAATAACATTCCTTTGGTACAGAGTCAAACCAAGGAGGGCATGTGCCTCGGAGTGTTCCTTCCATGTGCACGTCACGAGTGAGCTGTAGTCATTGTGGCACCTCAAGCTCTCCATCGGAACGCTTTCTGAAATGGATGCCAGCCAAAATAAAGATGCAATGCTTACAAATGGAAATAGTGAGAGCTAGCAGGAAGGACAGTGATTCTGCCATCAGAATGGGAAAGGCGTCAAGAACAGCACTCTTCTGACGGCACCAAATAATGACCCTTGGTGAAAATATGTTTGAAGTTGTGTTCCTTCCCCACATCTCCACAGTACCAAAGAGTCAAGCCAAGGTACAACAACGGTGAAGCGAGACCTTTGAGCCTGCAAGACATGTTTCTGGCCAAAGTATCACTTCCAGGCAGAAACAGCTTTCTGGGCATAGTGAATATCACAGTTAGTGGGGATGTGCTGATTATTTCATCTCTGTGGGACTTCTTTGCAACCAATTTCCATACTCTCACCTATTTGTCTGCACCAGCACCAGCACCTGCCACAAACTGACTGCTTTTGATCAGAATGCTTGTTGTCCTGCAGCAGAGAGGATAGGAGCAAAAGAAAGTAGAAAATGGGGAAGAGTGAGTCAGGTACAAAAAAGAGAGGAAAAAGGCAGGAGTCAAATAAAAGAAATTATAATTCTGAAACTCACCATTAATGGCTTGGTCACTGAAGGCCAATGACAGATTTAGCAAAAAGATGCAAAACCCTTTCATCTTCATACTGTCCTTTGAACACACATTTTTATTAAAAAAAATGTTTTCATTGCCCACTCTTCTTTTGTCTTGTTGTGGAGCTTCTTGTTTTCATTTCATGTAAAGAGAAGTAAAACTCAGTTAGGGAACCTTAGGCATTTTGCTGTCTTGAAGTGATATTTGGAAAGAACTCCCTAATTTGCTGTGATAAAATTCAGACAGAACATCTACAGATCCTTTACTGATGGGCAAACCTGTTCTTATTGTGTGAACCTGCAACATGAGCAAGGACTGTAGAGTAAATGTGCACATCCAAGGAAGTGCACAGATTCTTTCAGCTCTTGAGAAGAAACATGCATATTCTGTGAATAAATTTATCCTTCAAATTCATTTGTCCTTCTGCTCTTTCTAGTCTTCCTACTCTTCCTTCTGTTTTGTTATTTTCCTTAAAAATACATTCCACAACCACATACCTCCAGAATACATGATTGAATTTCCATATTTATTCATTTTCAGGTTTCTCTTGAATATGGTACTCCCCAGACAAGTTGCAAATTTTAGCAACAATTTCAAACAAATTATTTCTCTTCTTTTGCGGAAGACCATGGCCCACATTCTTTGGTACCAGAATACTGGCTCTTCTGGCCATCTCTCACTGCTTTCTCCAAACTATGATAAACTTACAGAGCTGCAACCCCTGTACTCAGTGAACTCTAGCTCTTTTCTACTGTAGAGGAACATGGAGAGATCTCCTTTTAAATCTCTGTTGACTTTCAGATTCCTGAGTGCCGCTTCTTGATACCAGAAACAGCGGTATGAGCCCTCGCATAATCATTGCAAAGCTTTCCCTTAAGAGCTCTCAAGACTTTCCAGGATAGAAGACTGCTATTTTGCCTTCCCCAGAAAGAAGCAGTTCCCTTACCTGCATCCAGAGTTGTCTGTGAGGCAGATGATAAAACCTGATGGATGACCCTCACTGTTCAGCTTCCCCAGCAGTATGAGAATCTTCTGATGCAGCAACCAGCTGCTTCCCTACAAAGGAATCTATACAATATTTTTGTACCTTCCATACATTCAAATGTCAGTTTTGAAGAAGCAGACCACACCCTTCCAACGAAAATAGATGCTTGTGCAGTTGTACAGTTACGTTCCTCCTATTTTAAGCTCCCAAGCACTTCGTGCGGACTGTTTAAGTGGGAAATATGGGGAAGGAAGTATGTCACTGCTAATCTGTATGTTAAGAATTATCTTTTCTTGGGATTAGTGTATTTATGAAGAAAAAAGAGGCAGAAAAAGGATCGACTGCAGTAAATGTATGAAAGTATAGGAAGGAATTCTTTCTGCTCAAGTATTGTTTCTTGCTTTATTGTAGTCTTAAAAAGCTCCAAGAGTGGGATCATTTTTCACTTTGTGCTTGTATGTTTATATGTAATTTGAAACTAGAGAGACTACCTTTATCACTGCAATCCTTTAATTTGAGCAATATTTTAAAACCATTTATGTTTTACTGATTTCAACAATTAATAATTGATGATGATTTTTATAATACGTAGATTAAAGTGAAAACTGAGGCTTTGTTCCTTCTAATCTCAACCATTCTGTGGTTCTATGAAAGACATACTCAGATTTGTGCATTTAGGAGTAAAGTACAAGGGGCTGAGATGGGTCCCCAGATACAGAATATAATTCTTCAGTCTGTTTGTTTTTCACAGCCACTAGACCTCTAAAATCTGACCAAAACCACACTTAGCAGATATAGCCACTCACAAGAACTCCTTCAATATACAAGAGAATATATACATACATATATATATATATATTCTGTGAATAAGGGAATAATAGAATCGCAGAATGGCTTGGGTTGGAAGGGACCTCAAAGATTATCTAGTTCCAAACTCCCTGCCATGGACAGAGTTGCTGACTGCTAGATCAAGAACTAGATAGGGCTGCCCAAGGCTCCATCCAGCCTGGCCTTGAATGCCTTCAAGGATGGGGCATCCAAAACCTCTCTAGGTAGCCTGTTCTAGTACTTCACCACCCTCTCAGTGAAAAACTTCCCCTCAACATCTAATCTAAATCTCTTCTCATTCAGTTTAAAATTGCTGCCCTGGACCTATCACTATCTATCCTTGTAAAAAGTTGTTTTCCCTCCTGCTTATAATTCACTTTAAGTACTGGAAGTCTATAATGCAGTCTCCCTGGAACCTTCTCTTCTCCAGACAAGCCCAACTCCCTAAGCCTGTCTTCATAGGAGAGGTTCTCTTACCCTCTATCATCCTCACGACTCTCCTCTGGACCTGCTCCAACAGTTTCATGTCCTTCCTGGGATGGGGGCCCCACGTCTGGACGCAATACTGCAGATGGGGCCTCACAAGAGCAGAAAAGAGAGGGAGGATGACCTCCCTCACCCTGCTGGCCACCTTTCTTTTGATGCAGTCCAAGATACAGTCGACCTTCCAGGCTGCCAATGCACAGTACTGGCCCATGTTAAGTTCTTCATCTACCAGGACACTTAAATTCTCTCTCAGCAGGACTACTCGCAAGGAATTCTTCTAATCTGCATACATGTCTGGGATTGCTCCAACCCAAGTGCAGCATTTCACGCTTGGCCTTGCTGCACCTCATCAAGTATACCTGGGCCCTTCCTTTTTGTTTCTCAAAGTCCCTTTGGATGGTATCCATTCCTTCTGTCGTATCAACTGCACCACTCAGCTTGGCGTCATCTGCAAACTTGCTGAGGGTGCCCTTGATCCCAATATCTGTGTCACTGATAAAGAGCATAATTCCTAGAGACAGACCCCCTTGTGGAACACCACTCATCACCAGCCTCCACCTGGACATAGAGCCACCGACCACAACCCTTTGGCTACAATATTCAGGATGCCCAAGGAGGTTGTGGATACTCTGTTCCTGGAAGCATTCAAGGCCAGGTTGGATCTGGCTCTGGGCAGCCTTGTCTAGTGGGTGGTAACCCTGCCCATGGCAAGGGTGCTGAAATTAGATGACCTTTAATGTCCTTTCCAACCCAGGCCATTCTATGATTCTATGATTCTACAGTTCTATGATTCTATGATTCTATGATTCTTTCTGGTTGATACATCCTTGCTTTTACTACCTGTGCACGTCCTTTTTACCCCCATTTGATCAACAGGTCCTTGCTGAGCTATACTGGTTTCCTGCTTCCTCTGCTTGTTTTCATATAAGGGAAAACAGAGAACTCTTGTGCTCACAGAAAGACAACCAGAGAGAGTTGCCAACTCTGCTCCACTCCTTTGTCTCTAAGGACATCTTTCCACAGGAACTCACCCACTGATTCCTTAAACAGCCTGAAGTTTGCTCTCCTGAAGTTTGGGGTTCTGACTTTGCTTTTTGCCAGGCCCATCCTCCTCTACCAAGTCACAGTCCCTACAGACCAGAGTGCCTCCCATCTTAGCCTCTTTAATGAGCTACTCTGAATTGGCAAGAATCAGGTCCAGAAGTGCTTATTCTCTAGTCTGTTTGTCTAATACCAGGAGCAGGAAGTTCTCCTCAACAAGCACCAGGGGTCTTCAGGATTGCTTGCAACCTGCCATGTTGTTTTTCCATAGACATACAGGTAGCTAAATTCCCTGCCAGTTCCTCCTGTGAGTGCAACGCTTCCCATAGCTGAAGCAAGAATGACTCATCCATAGGCTCTCCCTTGATCAGGCAGCCTGTCATAGACCCTGACCATCAAATGTCCTTTCTTGGTCCAGTCCCTGATTTTCACCCACGAGTTCTCAACCTGAACATGGCTATTTCTCAGATGTAGCTCTTCACACTCTGTCCAACTCTTAACATAGAGAGCAACTCCCCCACTTATCTTTCCCTACCTATCTCTTCTGAAAACTTTCTAGCCCTCAATCATCATACTCCAGTCATGTATATCAACCCGCATGACTGTGATCACAATTACTCTGTGACCACATACTCTTCTAATTGCATTGTGGCTTACAACTCTTCCTGCTTATTACTCAGGCTGCATGCATTGATGTAGAGGCACTTCATTTAGGCTACTAGTAATGTTATCTTATCTGAGGAGTCCTCACAAGACACCTCAGCCCTGCTGTTGTGGATCGTGGTCACCGTGTTTGTTGTGACACAGTGCTGCACCCTGGTGTGCCCAGAAGAGCAGAGGGCATTGTGGCCTGTGCTAACAGCCAGGAAGGCTTTGGGTCAGGTTCTGGAAAAGATATCAGGTAAGGATGTAATTATTTACTGTGCACTTTTCTGTGCTTACTACACTCTTGCTTTAAGTATCCACTGTAAGCTATGGTCAGAGGCAGAATATCAGACAGGATGAAATGACTGTTTGGCCCCGTTGTGTTCATCTGTGTTCCTATATCACGGACTTTCCTCCACATAGAAAACAATGTCTTTAGGTGCTGAAACAGCATCATAGGGAGTGAGAGGAATCAGAGATTAATCATTGGACATGTATAGGAAAAAGACTGTGTACAAATGCATTTGACATTGTGTGAACAAGAAAGTCTACAGCAATTGTCAGGGTGGGTTGGGCTTGTTTTGCATTACGCTGTAGAGATACAATTTTCTCAGAAATTATCCAGCTGCTGTTCTTTGAGACCTCGGTGGGCTTTCCATTACTGTTTCCTTTTCTATTAAACCATTCACCCTCAGTTTCCTTCTTCATGTAAAAGACAACCCCCAGACTTGCAAAAACACAACAACTGACTCGTTCCACATGGATTGGCATTGGAACTATTGAGGTCACAATGTACTTTGCAACTTAATCTCATGCAAAGTCAGGTAATACATTTCTGGTTGAGGTTTATTCTTATGAAGCAATAATGAAGTTATTACCTAAGAGTAAGAAAGAGAAAATTTCTTACTGTCAAAACACAGGCAGAAATCTTTGAAGTTGAATCAGAGAGTTGCAAAAGGTGATCTACACTATTAATTGAGATGCTTATTCAGGAAGGAATGTAAGACAAAAACAAAGCCTGTGGACGCTTTGATTCCAAGGTGATGCATATCAGAGATCAGAATCCAGATACCTGATTTGCATATGAATTTGAACATCTCCTTTTTTGTACCAGCCTAGCTAGAGCACAACCATACAGCCTAGAAGAAATTAGCCTTCTTACACATAAAAGGCCAAAGAGACTAAAAAAACTTGAAACTCATTTAAGGTGTTCCTCATTCCATATTCTCTGTTAGAGGCTGCAACTGTATGCCTATTCCCATCAAGAATGTTGAATTTGAAAATTGAATTTGGCCTCCTTTAAATTAGTAAGCAATTAAATTGTGAAAAATAATGCATTTCTCTGCAATTTCTGAATCAGCATTGTCCCATTAAATCAGCAGGAGGAATCAGCAGGCACAAACACAGAACTCCTTCTCATCAGGTCTGCCAAATAATACAGCAAGGTCAACTTGCAGGTGACAGTTCTGAACTTACAGAATCTTTTAAGGTCCATTCAAAAGAGCTAATAGTAATGTTGTAAGTACAACATTCCTAAGGCATGCAAGAAGAGATCTGTAAGAAGAAATAATGTATTTTATTAGATAAAATTATATATATATTTGGAATGGCAAGTCTATCTTCAGATCTAAAACCAAAGCCTTTTACTAATCACAGAGTGGCAGTTCTGTGCTCCTATCTTGCAACACTTTCTTTACAGAAGCAGAATAAATAAAAAAGTGGTTCCTTTTCCAATACAGCTTAGGAAGAACAAGAAAAGAAAGAACACGTCACATGGTTAAGATGAATTATATCGTGCTTGAACAGCTGATGAACTTAAAAGAAAATCACACAATGAGAAATAGAAAAGCCCCACCAGACACAGGCTTCTGCACCTTCACAGCTTTTCTCTCGTCATTCTCTGTTATTGTCCCTTTCCCTTCCTCTCTGCACTGAATGAGTCCTTGGGTTTTCTTCTAGTGATGTATCTTCCCTATGGTCCCCCAGAGCCTATTTCATGTATCTCAGTAATGTTTTCTTCTTATCCTAAGAATACACTGTGATACAACGCATCTTAAATTAAGAAAGTTTTCCTGGACTTTGGCCATTTTTTCTCATTTTCTATTTATGCTTCTATAACTGTCTGGTGATTTTTCATCTGAGATGATACCTAACCTATGCTAGTAGTGAAAACGTAGAAATAATTAAAGGTCCTTCATGAGTCTTTGACCTATTTCACACACACAGAAGATT